GCTTTTTCTGGCCCGCCGCTTTTTTCCGGCTTGGAGATAAGCCAGAGAAAAGCATCCAGACTGGCGCGATCCTCCGGAATAAAGCCCTATTCCGGAGGATCTCTTATTCCTACTTGCAAATCCCCCGCGGATTTGCCTCTTCCAAAGTGCTACATTTGCATGCCTATTCCGTAATAGGCGGCCAGTGTAGACACAGCCTGTATGTATGTATTATCATTTCCTCAGATTGCCCAGGGCTGAGAGACAATGTATTGTCCTTCTGCCTCCACTGATAGGAAGATTTGCTTGTATGTAGGGTCAGCTGTCTCACACCACCACTCTGTTCAGCTATGCAAACAATCTCCTCAGGGCAGCCCTCAGTTTGCAATGTACCTTAGCAATAGGGCTTTGGCTACACTGCAGGGGTTTTGTGCAAGAAGCTTTTTGTGGAAGAGATCTTCTGCACAAACTTCTTGTGCAAAAGCCCTTCTTGCGCTTTTGTGCAAGAGAGCATCCATACTGCATGGACACTCTTGCACAAGAAAGCTCTGATTACCATTAACAGAACGGCCATCAGAGCACCTGTGCTTTTTCTGATAGGCTCTTTTTGCACAAGAAACCCCTGCAGAACGTCCACACATGGATTTTTGCACAAGAGCTATAGCACAAAAATGAGTTATTCCTCGTGGGGAGAGGAATAACTCTACCAACAAAAGCCCTCTGTCCTGTTGATTTACTGTATTTTTTTTTGTGCAAAAACATGCTTGAGGTGTGGACGCTCTGCCGTTTTTTGCACAAAAATGGCCATTTTTGTGCAAAAACCTTGAAGTGTAGACATAGCCTAGGTGCAACCCAATCCCTAAGACCCTTGAAGTGTTCCACTGCAGTGTCCAACCCTTAACCACTGGATATGCACAGAAATAACTAAGTAAACTATCCTCTAAAGCAGGGGTTGGCAATCTATGGCTCTCCCCCTGCAGCAAGGAGCCCATACTGGTGCTGTAGCCTTTCCACCACTCCCCAAGACTGGAGCGTCACTGCAGCTTCCTGCAGGGAAGGGAGGAGGAAGAAGGCTGAGAGGCTCTGCGCAAGATTCTGCATGCAGAGAATAAACAGACTATACATGGCTTGGCGCAAATGTGTTTTCCTCCCCCCCCTCCAACCCCTCCCGCCCCTGTGGGAGAAACCAAGAAGCAAAGATGACTCCTTGTGTACTGCTAATTTGTTCCCTCAGAACACACTTCCTTCAGGCCTCCCCTGCCAGCCTTCCCAGAGGCTTCCTGCTGGCAAATGGGAGCAGTGGGAGGCATGTTATACGTTGCCTGCTACTTGTCACAAAAACAAGTAATTCCTTCCCCTGCCCTCATAGCAGGACGAAGTACCATCCTGGACAAAGTTGAGCAATGTAAACTACAGACAGATGCAAAAATTATTACATTCAGATCAAACTCCTGAATAATCCACATTTTGGCATTTAAATAGAACTCTCTTGTGGGTTTTTTCTTCAGAGGTACTGAGCAACCCCATTTGATCAAAGGTATGATCAAACCATTTTTGTTTATTGTTAGTCTGACTTAAGGTATCCAAGTTTGAAAATTTTGGCCAAAACATCTTTTGGTAAAGCTTTATAGAATGTTTCCTGATTATATGTCTTTCCCTTTAATCCATATAGTTGAGAGAAAACCAGCTCCTCAATTAGAAGAGGCTCTTGAAAATATTCAAGGATCAGTTTTAACATCACGGTTATATTTATCATCATCTAATAGGTACAAAAGTAGCTGCCGGTAAGCATTCGATTTATTCTATTGTTTTTAAAAACTAAATTTAGTTAATGCCTTGCAATATGCAGAAGATAATTGACTCCACTCTTCTGAAAATTTTGGCAGACTGTTAAATAGAAAAAATGCTGCTATGAAAACTTTTAAAGAGAAAATTTTGTGCCATATCTTTAAATTGTTTGATGTCTACATGCACAAAAGTGGAGGAAAAGAGGCAAACTTTTGCACTTTCCTAATCCTGAGAGTTAGTTCAATCTCTCAGTTAGAGCAGCCTCAGGACTGTTCTAGACTGCACCAAGACTGTTCTAGATTGCTGCAATGGCTGAAATATGCCATCCTACCACCCCAGGAGTAGAACAGGAAGAATAATATATTTTCTTTGCTCTTGGACAGTTCTGAAAAAAATACAACGTTTTATTTGGGGTTGAATTAAAACATTGAAACTTGATTCTTTTTTGTTTCAATTTTGGGCATTTTAACAAAAGCAAAGGAGGAATAATTTTCATCAACCACAGGAATGAGGAAAATGAGATGGCACCTTCCTTTTGAGCATTAGTTTAATGGTTCAGAAACTCATTATGCTGTGGGAGACTCAGGTTTAATTCTCCTGCTTTTTGCCTGCCTGATGTGAAGAAAGAATTTGAACTTTGATTTCCGATATACAAGAGAGTGTCCTAGTTGCTAGGCTATGGGATATATGTCTTCCTCAATCTCTTTAAATATAGTTTTTGCGTGTGAAAAAAACCCCTAAAAAATAGAAACTCTGTAGTAGATGCCATATTGACACCTACATGGGTCAACAAGTTTGAAATCTTTATATCCACTGCATAGACTTTTCTCACTTGAATTAAGTGGCTAGCTGATAGAAGATTATCATCCTTTCTGTGAAGCATGCAAAGTGTACACAGTATCTTTGGGGAGTTTAGTTGCAAATCTCTAGCAAGTGTCTAGTGAGCATTTGTGAATTCCAGGCCAAATTTGGGTGAATTTTCATGGGATGGCAAAAACCACATCCCTGAACACTGGAGTTTCTCAAAGAAAATGTCATCAGTATTTTTAATGTGGGCAAAAAACCCTCTAGATCAGGGTTTCCCAAATTGTTTTGGCCGCAGAGTCCCTATGGGATCTTGAAAATTTGGCAGGGCTGTAAAAATATCATGTTTTTTAATTCAATAGGTACCTAAATAAATACACAAAGATTTGGAATTCTATTTTTAGTTCTTGCATATTTCTTATAAATTCTTTTTTTCTTCAAGAAAAGTATCAGAAAATTAGGGTACATCTGGACAGTATCCTTCTGTCAGAATAAGCTATGCAATTTGCACTACACAAATTGCGTAGCTTATTCAGAGTCTAAATCAAAAGGGCATATTTTGAAATTCGGCGCCAGATTTCAAAATAAGGCACTATTCTGACACATCCCTTAACCCTCATGGAACAAGGGTTCCAGGGACATCAGAATAGTGCACCCTCTATTTCAGGAAACAGTGGGCGCTTTTAAAGACACGTCGTTGCTATTTCAGGATACTTCTGGTATCCTGAAAGACCAACACAGTCTAGACTTACCCTTAGTAACAAAATAACAGGGTCATACAACTCAAATATTTTCTTGTGGCATCCTTGGACCCATTGCGTGGAGCTCTAGGGCTCCATAGATCACACTTTGGGAAACCCTGCTGTAGAATCAGTCTTGGAAATATCTTAACCATTTTTGCAGAATCTTTCCAGAAGAATTCAGCTTAGGGATGTTAAGGTCTAGACGACAGGATAGTTGACTAGTCGCTCCCCCGCTTTGCTGCCTCTCACAGATGGAGGCAGCAAGGGGGGGGAACCCGGGCCCTGTGCTGCACTGCCCTTTTGAAACGCTGCAGCAGCGTTTCAAAGAGGCAGCACAGCGCAGAGTCTGGGATCAGTTGTGCAGCACTGTCCCTTTGAAATGTCGATTGACTACTCGATTAGTCAACTACACGATATTTAACATCCTCAGTTTAGCCTGAGGCAGTTGTTAAGCGTGAAAAAATTCAGCCCAAATGGCAAATGGTAAAGATTGGCAAAGCTAAAAGCATCCAGTCAACCTTAATCACAAGTGCCATCAGCCCCAACTGTAATTTATATTATGTTGCCTTTCTTTGGGAGATATTATATTCTTGCCATGTACTTCAGCATATTTTTTATTGAAATGTGTGTGTTAGATCAAAAAATACATAGCTTCTTTTGGCTTAATTTTTATTTTTTCACACCAAGAACTACAGATTCTCCCTCTGATTCATCAGCATTCAAAAATGGCTTCTTGGATCAGAAGCAGATCTCCACAAATGTTGGCTGTGATAAAATGATCCAAGAAAACAGTGAAAGAAACTTGGATAGTGACCAACAACTTTTCCAGCAAAATCTGGAGGAAATGCAGCGACTCCTTGAAAAACAACATCTTAGTAGCTTGCCGGTAGGATTCTTTGAAGATATTCACAAAATAATGTCTATAAAGTGTCTTTCTAAAAATCCAAAGTCAAATAGGCAGTTATCATCCCATCAGTCTTATTCTATTTCCAATGACTGCACATGTTCATTCAACTTAAGGTGTGTGTGTGTGCCCAGTATGCTAGTTTCAGATTTTCCCCTCAGTGGTCCTATCTTCTGCTTTGTATTGCTGCATGATTCTATAAACAACAGATCCTCCCTGACCCCTTCCAGTTCCTTCTTACTTTCTATGACAGTTGTGGAAGTGTACTACTTTGCTACTGCAAGAGTTTCTGTTTTTCCTAATCCTTTCTGTTGAATATAGTTGGTACTTGTTAGTTGTCTTACTGGAAAATTTTACCTAGTAGGCTTCCGTTTTTACTAGAGGATTCAGTATGCTCTTCTGTTCCTGCAAGTGTTTTTTCAAACCTTGTGATGGATGCAAGATGCTGATACAGATCAGTGATCTGCACTCTAGGTACCTGAAGTGTTTTGGAGAAGCTGAGATCAGGCACAGGTACTAAACTTTAGGGACAGTAAGTTCAGAACTAAAAAGATGGAGAGGCCAAACTATAAAACTCCTTTTTATGTAGGCAGTCCTGCGCCCACTCCCAGAACCTTCATTTCTTGGGGAGAGCACTGAACACTTCTGTTTTGGTTAGGAGCACTCTTCCTGACGTGGCAGAGTCTCGGCACCAATCTCCTTCTTCAGTACCAAGAAAAAAACAGTATACTTCATCAAAAGAACTGTCATCAAGAAGATTGAGGTTTCTGGCACCAAAGTCCAATAAATAAATTAGGAAGCAGGCATTCTGTAGTGCATATAACAGCCCAAGTAGTGCTATTGAGACCAGTCTGTGAGGGCACATCTACACTAACTAAGCATCTACCCAGCAATCCCATTAATTTGAAATAATTTCAAAATAACTGGCTTCTTATTCCAGAATAATAAATCCTCATTTCACAAGGAATAATGCCTATTTTGAAATACTTATTTCGAAACAGGATGTGTGTAGATGGCACAGCTGTGGTTATTTGGAAAAAATTTGCCTCATTGCAGTAGGAATACCAGCTAATTTGAGTTAGGGCTTTAAATCGGAATCCCGTTTCACTGCTGCGTGTAGACGCGGGCAGTTACTTTGGGCTAGTCAATTTATAAAATGGCGACCAGCGGGGAACATGCAAATCAAGCATGGGATATTTAAATCCCGGGCTTGATTTGCAATTTCGGTCGCTCTCATTAGCCTCCCTAGATCGATCTAGGGGGCTAGTGTAGACGTACCCGTTCAGAAATGCCGACAGAAAGTGCTGATGTATTGGGATCTGTGGGACCCTCTTGAATGGTGCTCCCCATAAATGAAATTTTTCTGGAATTCACAAAAATATTGTGACAAATGCCATCTTTCCTACCTCCCATAGTCAAAATGAATGAAAAGGAAGTATTAGGTCCCCTCCCAAGTGTTTGAATATATTTATATTTACCCTGGGGTCCTTGGTGGTTTCAACTTTTAACTAAAGAGAGCACCAGGGTGCACAAGATGCAAACAATTGTGATCCTTTTGGGAGAAAATTTTATTCTACAGTTTAATTTCCATTATGCATTTCTAATCCATAAGCATTGCCTAGAATAATATTTTTAAACTTACAGATGAGTTGCCAGAGGAAGCCAAATAAGAGTATCTTAGGGTATGTCTACAGTAGCTACCCTAGTTCGAAGTAGGGTGGCTAATGTAGACTTTCGAACTTGCAAATGAAGCCCAGGATTAAAATATCCTGGGCTTCATTTGCATGTTCCCGGGCGCCGCCATTTTTAAATGCCCGGTAGTTCGGACTCCCTGCCTGCGGCTACGCGCGGCACGGGCTAGGTAGTTCGAACTAAAGCCCCTAATTCGGACTACCATTACTTTTCCTGCAATGAGTCCGAATTAGGAGCTTTAGTTCGAACTACCTAGCCCATGCCGTGTGTAGCCGCGGGCAGGGAGTCCGGGGATATTTTAATCCCAGGCTTCATTTGCAAGTTCAAATGACTACATTAGCCACCTTAGTTTGAACTAGGGTGGCTAGTGTAGACATACCCCTACAGTGTAGTGAATGAGGCAAAGATGGTAGCCATGACCTTGCTTCAGGCTTCATTGAATGTTGCAAATTTTGCTGCCAGAGTCACTACATCAGGTATTACAATGCATAATTGTTTGTGGTTCCAGTCATCAAGGCTTCCTCAGGAGGTCCAAGAGATTACCCTTTTGAGGGACCAGTGGTATTTTTTTTTCTCAGCAGACTGATCACAAGCTTCAGAACCTTTTAACACACTGTCAGCAGGATCAGTCTAGGAGAAAGAAGAAGAGTTATAGGAGGAAACCACCTTCAACTCCAATCCAGGCAGTGTGGAAAGGAGGAGGAAACAGTCTGACTGGACTGCAGAGGAGTGAGAAACGCAGGAGATGAAGGAACAGAGAGAACAGGAGCAGAAAACAAAAGCATAAGGGACAATAAAAGGGAAAGGGCGCAGAACTGGAGTTATAGGATGGTTGGAAAGAAGATGGGAGTGAAAAGGAGCAGAGGAGGAAAGACAGCCTGGGCAAAGGGGTCTAAAAACCAATAGAGTACACTTTCTTTGAGACTGTGGAATTGAATCTAAAAGTGCTGAGTATTTACATTACTTTGCTGTTTGCATATAGCTGTGAAACCCAGAGGCAAAGTGTGTATCTCATCTACCTCTAGTGGATAGTCTGCAAAAAGGATTGAACTACTACTTCAAATGGAAGAGATCTGTGTGGTGTATGTAAAAGTGCATTCCTTAATGCTGCAGATAAAATAAAAGCTAATCAGAAAATAGAAATTTTATTTTAATGTAATTTATTACGTTAAACGATAGGTGACCATTCAATTAAAAGTGAGACGATACCAGTATTAAGTATTGTGCATGTGCATCATATCAGATAAAGACTTTAAGTACATGATCACAAACTGTTTTACCACATGATCCCTGCCTCATCCAGTGCACAGGATGGCTGGAGTTTTAAAAATCAATCAAATGTCTTACAGTGAATGGTCTGCAGGACTCTGCCTCACTTGTTGCAGAATTGGATGGTGTGTTGTGTAGGAGGCAGGGGATTGCACGAAAAAAATAGGAGTAGTCCCATGGTTCAGAAATTCAATGTTACTCTGGTGAATTGGATCCTGTCTTTGTCTCTACCATAGATAGATTGTGTTTTTCCTCTTTTTTTTTCTTTTGTGTGTGTGTGTTCAACTTTGACAAATCTAATCCTGGAAACACTTATGCATGTGAATAACCTTCCTTGTATCTCTCTGAGTTGATTTATGAACATTGATTCCATTAGTAAAGTTCCTTCTTGGAATTTGCAGAACTGAACTATACTAAAATTAAAATGTTCAAGTTAATCGGGAAAATACAATTCATTTTTGCAGTATCTTTACATTATTGTGAGTTGACCTGAATTTTCATGGCATGTTAGAATCATAGAACACTAGATCTGGAAGGGACCTCAAGAGGTCATCGAGTCCAATCCCCTGCACTCACAGCAGGACCCAGTACTGTCTAGACCAGGGGTGGGCAATAATTTTTCCCCAGGGTCCACTTAAAAATGTTTGAAGTAGCCCCAGAAGGTACGGGGCCTAAGCAGGAAGGGGTGAAGCCACCCTATCCCCAGACCATGATTGGTCTTGGTGTGGGGGAGCCCCTTTGCCTCCCCTTCCCACTAGGTACCTGTGCCCTGGGAGAGACTTGGCATGCTCCCCCACCCCCAGGCCAATCAGGGCCTGGGGACGGGAGACCGTGGGAACCCTCCTCCCACCCTGCGAGGAGCCCGTGGCACTTTGAAATGCCACGGGCTCCTCACAGGGCTGGGGCAGGGCGAAGGAAGCTTCATGCAGAAGTGCACGAAGCCTCCTCTGCACTCTCCCTGCACCCTGTGAGCAGTGCACGGTGCTTCAAAGCACCACCTGCTCCTGGCAGGGTGAGAGGAGGCTTCACACGCTCTCCCGCCCGCAGGCCCTGATTAGTTTTGAAGAGCCGCATGCTGCTCGCAGGGTGGGGGTAGAGCAGAGAAGGCTTCAGGCGCTCCCCCGCCGCCAGACCCTAATTGGCCTGGTGGCAGGGGAGCAGCAGGGCCTCCGCGGGCCAAATCCACCCACATGTTGGGCTGGATGCAGCCCACAGAGGCCCTTTTACCTGCTCCTGGTCCAGAGCTTCCCTGGTAGATGTCTATCTAACCTGCTCTTAAATATCTCCAGTGATGGAAATTCCATAGCTTCCGTAGGCAATTTATTCCAGTGTTTAACCACCCTTACAGTTAGGAAGTTTTTCCTAATGTCCAACCTAAACCTGGCTGCAGTTTAAGCCCATTGCTTCTTGTCCTGTACTCCGAGGCCAAGGAGAACAATTTTTCTCCCTCCTTCTTATGACACCCATTTAGATACCTGAAGACTGCTATCATGTCCCCTCTCAGTCTTCTCCTTTCCAAACTAAACATGCTCAATTCTTTCAGTCTTCCTTCATAGGTCATGTTCTCTAGACCTTTAATCATTCTTGTTGCTCTTCTCTGGACCTTCTCCAATTTCTCCACATCTTTCTTGAAATATGGTACCCAGAACTGGACACAATACTCCAATGTGGCCTAATCAACGCAGAGTACAGAGGTAGAATAACTTCTCATATCTTGCTCACAACACTCCTGTTAATGCTTCCCAGAATCATGTTTACTTTTTTTGCAACAGCATCACACTGTTGGCTCATATTTGGCTTGTGGTCCACTGTAACCCCTCAATCCCTTTCTGCTGTAGTCCTTCCTAGACAGTCACTTCCCATTCTATATGTTTGAAATGGATTGTGCCTTCCTAAGTGGAGTACTTTGCATTTGTCCTTATTCAACTTCATCCTATTTACCTTAGACCATTTCTCCAATTTGTCCAGATCATTTTGAATTATGGCCCTCCTCCAAAGCAACTGCAACCCCTCCCAGTTTG